GTGTTCTCATTTTTTCTAGCACATTCTATATCTAATTATTTATTAGATATAAAAAATCTCATTTCTTACTTTATTTATCCATCTTCTTTTAACAAATAATCATGCCTATTCGCACGTATTTTGACATTGATATCGATGGCCGGAGTGAGGGCCGAATAGTTTTTGAATTGGTAATAAAATATTTACAGTAACTCTTGAAATTTAATATAAAGGTACAGTATGACTAAAGCAACCATATGTACAGTTCGATAATGTTGTACCAAAAACAGCAGAAAATTTTCGTGCACTTTGTACAGGTAAAATCGATCTTAAGAATTTCAGTAGATCACATGACCTTATAAGTAGGCTCAATCTATTTTTATAGGAGAAAAGGGTAATACTGCATCAGGAATACCATTGCACTATAAAGGATCTATATTTCATCGTGTGATTAAGGTTGGTAGCATTTTTGACAAAATTCTTGTAACAGGATTAACTTTAATTATTCTGTAAAGTAGAATTTTATGTGCCAAGGGGGTGATTTCACCAAAGGAAATGGTACTGGAGGTGAAAGCATTTATGGTGAAAAATTCGAAGGTAAATATAAAAAATACTTAGTCATCATCACACAATCATTGCTAATGTTATAATAATGTTTAGATGAGGCTTTTGAATATAAGCATGATCAACCTTTTCTCTTGTCGATGGCGAATGCCGGTCCTAACACCAATGGATCCCAATTTTTTATCACTACAAATAAAGTATTGTATCCAATTTCTTCATTTGTGTCTCGTCAATTATGTTAAATCGTTTTTTTTTTGCAAATAATTGTAGGCTGAACATTTGGACGGAAAACATGTGGTTTTTGGTAAAGTGATCAAAGGCAAATCTATCGTTCGTGCCATTGAAGCTGTTAATACTGCAGGCGAGAGTCCGGTAAAAACCATCAAGATTGCTGATTGCGGAGAATTAAAGGAAGGTGAAGATGACGGCATACCGCAACTAATGGACGGAGATGAGTACGAAGATTGGCCTGGTAATATTTCATTTTTAATACTAAAGATTTAATTAAAAAGATATTTATATACTTTTACATGAATTTTTATAGAGGATCAAGGGTCCTTAGAACAAAACGATCTGCTTCAAATCGCAAAGAAAGTAAAAGATATCGGTAATGATTATTTCAAGAAGGCTGAATACGAAATTGCGGCCAAAAAATATTCAAAGGTA